ATAGTTTCTAGAAGCATCATAGTACAGAATCTGCACTGGCTAAGTTGGTCAATACTGCTGGCCTCAGAATGTGGATATGTTTTTGTTTTGGTACTATTAATACAGCGTTTGGAACTAATGACCATGACATTTTAATGATTAGGCTTGAAGACAATCAGTGTTAAACAAATAAGTTCTTGCATGGTTAAGAACCTATTTGACAGACCGTTACCAGATTGATAGCATTAATGGAGATTCTGGAGAGTCTAAACAAGTGGTGTACCACAAGGTTCTGTTTCAGGCTGCCTATTACTCTTCATTTATATTCAGCCCCTCATATGTGTATTTTGCAAACATTTACAAAACTTTTACTTTTATGCTAATGATTTTTTATGCTGATATCACAGTTTTACTTATCAGTTCTGCCAGAAGACACAACGGCATGGATAAATAGAAAATTTCTTCTCCAAAATTTTTAAAAAACAGAAATACTGATGTTGGATACTAAGTCTGCCTGTGATAAAATTGCAAATTTTATCCTAAAGTTTAATAGTTTTTCTGTGAACCTAAGAGCATCATGTAAGAACATACGTATATTATTATGTTCTGGTTTATGATTTGATTCCTATGTAAGTGACATGTCTAAAATTTCTTATGATCAAAAGCAAATGAACAAATATACTAACCAAAAATAAAAAAGAACGTTGGATCAAACAAAAAACAAAGTGTCAGTTTATCAGTTTATTACAGGTGAGTTATATATATATATATATATATATATATATATATATATATATATATATATATATATGTGTGTGTGTGTGTGTGTGTGTGTGTGTATATATGTATATATGCTGTGTTAAATCAAGATAAATCATGTCAGAACTTTTCACCCCCTCACTGTTAAAATTACATTGACACCCTCACTGATAAAAATTAAGTGAAGAACAATCAGAAACATTTTAGGGAAAAATAGGAAAAATAAAACAGTTACAAGAACCTTGTCGCATAAGTGTGCACACCCTTTAATAATTGGGGATGTGGCCGTGTTCAGAATGAGCCAATCACATTCAAACTTCAGTGTTCATTCAATGTTCATCGTTCAATGTTCAGAAGTAATTATCATATAGCTGTCATCAATGAAATTATTCTGATTAACCAAAAAATAAAGAAGAGCTGTTTCTGTAGGATTTTCTTGACCTCTTCTTGGTTTCATCTGACTGCTGAAGCCATGGTCTGCAAAGAAACCTGTACAGGGCCTCACTGTCAAAAGGAATCCATCAGGAGAGGGGTACAAAAGTATTTCCAAAACATTTATATGTACTATGGAACACCATGAAGGCCATCATCAACAAGTGGAGAATTAGCAAGAACAGGACGTCTCTCCAAAATTTACAAAAGGACAAGACAAAAACTTACCAGAGAGGCTGCCAGCAGAACTACGGCAACATTAAAGGAGCTGCAGTAATATCTGAGAAGCACTGATTATCTCTGCATGTGACAACAATCTGGGCTATGGGGTAGGGCGGCTAGACAGAAGCCCTTTCTCACAAACAACATCCAATCCCACCTAAATCACCCCGAACCATGTGGCAAAATGTGTTAGGGTCTGATGAACAAGAACAATTCCAAAAGTATAATAATTCCATATTTCCAAAAGATATGTTTGGCACAAAAAAAGCACATCACCAAAAAGAACACCATGCCCATCGAGAAGCATGGTGGTAGCAGCATCATGCTTCATGGCTGCTTTTCTTCAGCCACAACTGGGGCATTTATCAAGGTGGAGGGATGAATAGCTACGAATACCAGTCAATTTTCGTGCATAACCTTCAGGTGTCTGCAAGTAAGCTGAAGATGAAAAGGAATTTCACCTTTCAGCACGACAATGACCCAAGACTAGCTGTGACAGCATAAATAAAAGGGAAAGCCAGAGGGTAACACAGACATGAGGGCACCCTGGGACATTTAAGTTTCATTCTTTTACTTCACAAAAAACTGCCATTTTAACAGGGGTGTGTGGACTTTTTATATCCTATATATATATATATATGTATATATCATTTGTGTCATTTATATATATATATATATATATATATATATATATATATATATAAATAAAATGACACCGATTGGCCATAACATTAAAACCACTGACAGGTGAAGTGAACAACATTGATTATCTCATTAAAATGTCACCTGCCAAGGCATGGGATATATTAGGCAGCAAGTGAACAGTCAGTTCTTGAAGTTGATGTGTTGGAAGCAAGAAAAATGTGCAGGCATAAGGATCTGAACGACTTTGACAAGGGCCAAATTGTGATGGCTAGAGGACTTGGTCAGAGCATCTCCAAAATGGTAGGTCTTTCGGAGTGTTCCTGATATGTTATGGTCAGTACCTACCAAAAGTGGTCAAGAAAGGTGTCAGACCACACAGTGCATTGCAGCTTGCTGTGTATGGGGGTGCATAGACGCAGACTGGTCAAAGTGCCCATGCTGACCCCTGTCCACTGCTGAAACTGCCTACAATGGGCATGTCAGTATAAGAACTGGACCATGAAGCAATGGAAGAAGGTGGCCTGGTCTGTTGAATCACATTTTCTTTTACATCATGTGGACATCTGGGTGCGTGTGCATTGCTTACCTGGGGAAGAGATGGCTCCAGGATGCACTATGGGAGATGAAGGCAAGCCGGTGGAGGCAGTGTAATGCCCTGGGCAATGTTCTGTTGGGAAAACTTGGGTCCTGGCATTCATGTGGATGTTACTTTGGCATGTACCACTGACCTAAACATTGTTGCAGAGCAAGTACACTGCTTCATGGCAACGATATTCCCTAATGGCGATGGCCTCTTTCAGCAAAATTTGTTCAGGAATGGTTTGAGGAACATGATAAAGAGTTCAAGGTGTTCACTTGGCCTCTAAATTCCCTAGATCCCAATCCGATTGAGCATCTGTGGGATGTGCTCGACAAACAACTCCAATCCATGCAGGCCCCACCTCACAACTTACAGGACTTAAAGGATCTGCTGCTAACATCTTGGTGCCAGATACCACAGCACACCTTCAGAGGTCTTGTGGAGTCCATGCCTTGATGGGTCAGAGCAGTTTTGGTGGCACAAGGGGGACTTACACAATATTAGGCAGCTGGTTTTAATGTTATGGCAGATCAGTATATATTGTCTGTTGTTACATTCATTCTTTTTTGTTTCTTTTTTTGTCAGTGTACTTGGCACTGACAAACTACTGTGTGCTTTCATAATCTTTTGATTGGGCTATTGTAACTTGTTGCTGGCTGGCTGCCCTGGTGCCTCTTTAAAGATGCTTCAGGTTGTTCAGAATGTACTAAGCATTTGAAATAGTGGGCTACCAGTGGGAATCCTTAGCCACAGTTACATTATTTCCAAAGAAATGTCAAAGACTGAAGATGTAAGGTGTTATGCAAGATACAGCATGTGCCACACTGGGACTGTGGCAGCAGATCAGAATACAAAGACTGACCATATATGACTCCATATACTGTATGACTCACCAAAAGCACTGGAGATTTCCAGCATCAGGTTTGTAAATACTGACTCAACTGTGGGCTGGTTTAGCTCTCTGCATTTAAAGCATTGAAGGTTAATAACATCAGATAATGAACACACTTTCCTCAGGGCATCATTTAAAGTTTCGCAGTCGATCACCGCTGAACACAGGGGTCCGCCCCACAGAGGTGCAAGACCCAAGCTAATTGGTCATATTGACTGTGGAATGCAGACACTGCTAGAGCAACAGGAAAAGAGATAGACGTACACAAGCCCACGTGCCTAGCTGGATGATTTTCTAGATATTTTCTGATTCCAAAAAAGGAGGTGGGATCTGCCACACGTTCCACATTCTGTATATACCAGCTATGATGCAAGAGGCACCCATAAACAGTTATATGCAGTAAAACACTGAAGCACTCAGAGAAATTATATCATGACCACAAATACTTAATTTTTCTCCTCCGTCTTTGGACACAAACCAGCAGTGAAAATGTGCTTTCTGGTACTAAATTGCTGTTGACAAAAAAAAGAAGAAAAAAGGAACCAATACAGTTAAAGAGGTCCCTGCCTGTAAAAACTTTGAGAATGTCTGACTTACTAATTATAACCAGGAGAGACTAAGATAGGGTTTAAATATTTAACTAAAGACAAGCCAGCAAATCTGAAAGTAAACAAACATGTACAGACAGAGAACAATCAATAACCAGGGACACTTCAGAATGACAATGCATTAGAATCAGGACTAAGACCATTAACCCAAACCATGACAGAACAGACTAGAAAGCAACAAAAAATACATGGACTAGGAAAAATTTCTAATATATGGCAAGGATTAGCCATGCAAGACCACATGGACTATACAATGCTGTGTAATGAGAGTGTGAATAAGAGTGCCTTATAAAGAGTCCTTAATTGAGTGGAAACAAGCTGCAGGTGCCAGTACTGGCACGTTGCCGAGGAGACAGGAGGTGACACAGAGTTTGTTACACTAGTTAAATTTGCTTTCTCTACATTATAAATGTAATGTGTTGATAGAAATCTAAATTGTTTTGAATGCTACCTTTTCAGCTAGCTAAACTGGGAGTTAGATAACTAAGAAAGACCTCTGAGACTGGAGTTTGACACCTCTTTCACTGCAAAAAATGTAGTGAAACAGAGTTGCACTGCCTCCTGCAAGCTGAAAACAGTTACTCACCCCATTAACATCATAAACCAAATACAGGATTATTAAACATATTTCTAGACACTACTTTACTAATTTCCAGTTCTATATTTTCTTATTCAATTGGCAGGTAATTCGGCTTCTTTCAAAAAATAAATGTCTTTATTGAAAAGAAATATGTTCAATAATCTTATATTTGGTTTATTTTAATCATACAATAGGAAATACTAGATAAATTCAAGATATTTTCACTTGATGTCTTTGTTGTTTTGCAGTGTTTATAGACAGGTTAATGCTGTATTTTCATTAGACAGCTATCTATCCTTGTGGGGTACCTGGATTAGCGGTTAGGCCATGGCACTCTCACTGCCATGGACGGAGTTCAATTCCCGGCCAGGGAACCAATGCCAGTGCTGGTCCCAAGCCTGGATAAAACTGGGGAGGGTTGCATTAGGAAGGGCATCTGGTGTAAAAACTAGGCCAAATCAAATGTGATGACCCCTAACGGTAGCAGCCAAAAGGAGAAGAAACTATCTATCCTTGTGTGTATCAGATATGTACTGTCTGTATGCTGTAATTTGCCAATTGTTTTAGAGTAGGTTAAAACCAAAAGACCTGTGATGGACTAGTATCCCATTCAGGGTTTATTCCTGCCAGTCCTGGTATAGGCTCAGGCTCCAGTGTGGCCCTGAATAAGATAAAGCGCTTACTGAAGATGAATGAATGAAACCAAAAGAAAGTTGTTTGTGGTCATTTTTCTGGCAGACCTATTTTACATTTTATTATACTTTTATTATACATTGATCAAAGTACTATCTACCGTGTCTCTTAGCTAATATAACATGTTTAAGTTAAAAGAAACTTTCTGTGCACGTTCTCCCTGTGTCTAAGTGGGCTCTGTTTCCATCCCACTGTCCAAATGGATTGGTGTGTGTAAATGTGTGTATAGTGCCCTGCAATGGACTGGCATTACATCCAAGGTGTATTCTCGCCAGACACCCAGTGTTCTCGTAGTAGGCTCCGGATTCACCATGAATGTTATTATTCATAAATTAGGGGCTTTTGGGTTTGTTATTACAGTTGCAAATCTGAGGCTCCTGAGGCGTATTCACCCCTATTGTTTGGAAATCACAAGTTAGAATCCCAACAAAGCCACAGCCATCAATGGCCAGGAGCTAAGATAACAAAATTGGCTATGCACTCTGGGTGGGAGAGATGGCATACTCTCTCTCCCCTGTTAATCACAGCAACACTAATCAACCCTGAGCATCTGAGATATTGAGGAGGGCAGTGTGCTGGTCATTTTGTCTGTGAAGCAATTTACACAGACTTAGCATTTTATTCATTTCACTTTTATGCCCTGGCAAATGCAAACGGCAAAAGTCCTTAGACTACTTTTATAGTAGCCATTCTATTGTGCATTTATGCTCTGCCTCCTGGGGGCTAAAAACAGTTACTCACCCCATTAACATGTTCTTACCTCAATAATTTTGACTCAGTTACTGGAGCTCTTAGCACCGGTCTAGACTCTATTATCACTACATGCTGAACATTTGGGCATGGTCCAGGGAAGACTGACATTTTTAGAGAGAGTGATGTGATGAGTGATGACACCCCAGCGCATCACTCATCATCTGCAATTAGGAATGGGCTAAAAGAAAATACACAAAAGCATAGGAAACACTGTGGTAAGTACAGTAGAAATTATTTACCACAAAATTCTGCTATCATTTTAACAATTTTTTAAGAAAGTATGAGTTTTGAAAAGGTCCCCACTAGGATAGGAATACCTGACAGTTTTGACCTTTTGGGGACATTTGGCTGGTCCCCACGAGGAAGACTGCTTTTTTCATTGAAGAAAAAAAAAAGAGCCAAAAATTTGGTTACTGAGGTTAAGGTTCTGGTTAGATTTAGGTATAGGTGTAGCAAGGTGTAGTAATAGGTCGTCTCAAGGATAGTAAGACAAATGTGTGTGTGTGTGTGTGTGTGTGTGTCCCTAAAACTTTGTGAGTTGCACTGTTGAAAAGCACATGAACTCACCATGGAGAGGATGCAAGTCTGCAGGAAACAAATATTCATAGGATAATTAAACTACGATCTTTGTGCTGCCTTCAATATGGTGGCAATCTGCTCTGCATTAACAGTTAGCCCTGGGTGATCATTACCCAGACACCTCCTCAGCAGGAGCCCAGTGCTGAATAACTGACATATCCGTAGAAAAAAGCTGAACAGATCTAGAAAAAAAAACAGAAAAGAAATATATTCAACATTGTCTGTCTGTGTCTCAAGTGCCCAGTAGCTATGAGCTAGTGTGATATAAGAATGGCACAAAAATTTAATTTAGGGAAATGTCTGAAAAATCTATAAATACGACAGAAATGTGACTTGTGCACCCTTGTTTAGACAAGCAGCCATACTGAGTCATCTCTGTGCAAATCTGGTAGCTTCTCCTCTCAGGCTTCTTTTTTACATCTGAGAAAAAACCCAGAAAGCTGTGCTGATCAATCATTATGCCACAAACAGACTGCAGGTGACAAGCATGCCAGGTGAACCTTAAAATATACATGCAGCCATATATCAAGGGCATGACAGGTACATTAGAGGAAGCCACCGGGGTACGACAAAGCCCATGTTGCGCTGCTCTAGAGTCACAGACTCTGTCAAAAATGTATTTTATTTCCTGCTGGCCATGAATGCATGGGCAACTAAAAAAAAAATATGATAAATATATCCCATTCACCCTTTTCTCTTTTATTCTACTTATTAGTCCAGTTTATCCATCACTTCAACACTCAAGTGCAATTAGCAAAAATATTTGACATGGCATCCAGCAGCCAAATATTACTGGACATTGCACAAAACCACAAGAAAAAGAGGACACTGAAAACAAATCTGTGCATACATACCTACACAGACAAGCAATGTTCCCTGGTCAGGGTGCAGATCCAGGAACCAGGACTCTGATCTGGATTGTGTTACAGAAGGTGAACAAGTTGAGTTAAAGTGGTTACAGAAGGTGAACAAGTTGAGTTAAAGTGGTTACAGAAGGTGAACAAGTTGAGTTAAAGTGGTTACAGAAGGTGAACAAGTTGAGTTAAAGTGGTTACAGAAGGTGAATAAGTTGAGTTAAAGTGGTTACAGAAGGTGAATAAGTTGAGTTATCCAAGGCCTTGAAGGGCTAAAGTGCTTTATGTTCAGCAAGACTACTGCTTGACTCGCTATGTCTGACTAAATTATCTGTCTGGAGCATGCAGAAAATTAGTCGTTTACTTTATTTCTAAATGGCAACCCAAAAAAAAAAAAAAAAAAAAAAAAAAAGCAAAGCACCTTGGCCATTTGTTAAATGATGCATTATGACCAATGGTGAACTGAATTATTTTTAGCTTGTCTTTTTCCAGACACAAACTGATTGAACACAGGCTGTGGAGACCCTACTTTGTTGTATATGAAGTTACCTTTACGAAAAAAAGACTATTATCCATTTACCATTCTCTTTATTTTATCTATCCAATTCCCATAAAAATGATGATTCTTTTCAATCGACCAGTTTAAAGACACCACACCCTCTTATACCATCAGAAAATATAAATCAGAAAAACATAGACTCAAAATGCTGCTTAAAAGAATTACTTTTTCAATATGGCACATTAGCATAATAGAGAAATAGTCAATGTGATTTAATTAAGGGTATTACTGAGAGGGGGAATTAATGAAAGCATCTTTTTGCATTCAGTGGTGACAGATGTGCAGTGATTGTGATGGCAGGGCCTTGGCTCGCACAGAGCGTGAATGGTGGAGGCATTCTCCTGTTCCTTCCGCCCTTCTGCTATTGATTTAGCTACTAGTCCAAGTACAGCTGAGTGGTGTGGCCTCCACCGGAATGGATGATTATTGGACTTTTTAGCAGTATATGAATGGCTTTTTTGTAGTGCATCATAAATTGTACTGCATCACCCCAGCAAGATCATATAAGAGGGAGACTGCATGTTTAGGTTATAAGTCAAGAATTAGTAATTTGAAGCTAAGAAGCTAAGTCTCATATATATATGTATATATGTATATATATATAATGTTCATCCATTCTTTGTAATCAATTCAGATATCTACCTAAAATGTTCTCATCTCATCTTTTTTTGTTACAGTGTGTTATATAAATATATGGTGTAATATAGATCAATTTCCTATATGCATAATAAATGCTGCCAACTGTTTTTGCAGTAATTTTATTTACACTATACGGCCAAAGGTTTGTGAACACCTTTTCTGGTACAGATTTAGTCCCTCTTTGCTGTTATAACCCCCAATCTTCTGGGAAGGCTTTCCACTAGATTTTGGAACATGGCTGTGGGGATTTGCATATTCAGCCACAAGAGCATTAGTGATGTCAGGCCACAAAGGTGTTCAGTGGGGTTGAGATCAGCGCTTTGTACAGGCCAGTCGAGGTCTTCTACACCAACCTTGGTAAAATATGTCTTCATGGACCTTCCTTTGTGCACAGTGACATTGTCATGCTGGAACAGGTTTGGGCCCCTTAGTTCCAGAGAAGAGAAATCCTAAAGCTATACAGGATATCATTAAGTATTAATGATATCCTAAACAATTGTGAGCCTCCAACTTTGTGGCAACAGTTTGGGGAAGGCCCACATATGCCTGTTATGGTCAGGTGTCCACAAACCTTTGGCCATATAGTGTATTTCACTAATCAAGCATTGACTTGATTGGTAAGAAATCTTTCATTATTTTAATGCACGGTTCGTTAAAATAATGAAAACTATATTTCATCATATCATACTGGTGCTCTTATTTCAGAATGCTAAGGGCACCAGTGCTAACAAAAATTTTGCTGGCACACACATAGGAAAATGATTCGGCCCACCAAGAAAATGTTCAGAACTTCTCAATGGCCCCTGTAGAGCGAATGACACAGAGTTCACCAGCTGTGCCCACCGAGTCACTGATTAGACACAAAGAGCCCATTTCCCTCTTGGCTTGATTTCCCACTAATGCTAATTTGTAAAGTGTAGAACTGCAATTCAAGAAGTATAAATCCATGATGATAAAACATTTGTGTTTTTATCAATGTAAATTAATGCTCATTACAGCAAGCGCATGATGTTTAAATCTTAATTTTTTTTTTTTTAAAAAAAAGAGCATCTCTGCTACATCTATTTCGTTAAAAAAAATCACTGCAGGAGAATTAAAGACCCGTGCTCAAGAAGTTTATCTATATAATCTGATTCACACCAGCTCCAACAGCAAAAACAATTTCACACTTTTACAGTTTCATACGTAGGCGTAGGGAGAGTTATTGGATCTTTTGGTAATTTTTGAGATCTTTTAAGGTTGGCCTAAATGTAAAGCATCAAAGGGAGGCAATGAGAAAGAAAATGTGCATGAAGTGCAA